TGAGGGTTCGGTGGGGCTGTGTCCACTGTGGTCACCCGAGGGCAGGGTGGCCGTGGGAAGCAGGACATGCAGGGGGCGTCGCCGGAGCCCCCTGGCAGCTGTGCCTGAGCGGCCAGGCCATCTCTCCCTCCGGACGCCGGGGCCGGAGTGACCGTCAGGGCTGGGGTGAGCAGTCTGTGGTCTAGTTTCTGGGCCGTGCCTGGGTGGAGGGAGCCAGTCTCCCCGGGAGCCTCTCCGCAGAGCTGGCCGCTTTGCGCTCCGAACCAGGTCCCACAGACGAGCCGCTCACTATGGCCGCCCCCAGAACTCCCCCTTGGCCAGGACCAGAGCCCAGGACCCCGTGGGACCAGGACGGCCAGGGGCTCTGAAAAGGCACCTGCACGGAGCCCTGCAGAGGCCCCTGGGGGTCACCCGTCCCCTTTATCCCTCCTGCCCCCAGTCAGCATCCTTTCTCCTGAGTGGGGGTGGGCACCCTGTCCCCCTTGTCCCTTAGCAAGGAGGCAGGTGACCTTGGAAGTCTGAATGTTATAGAGCTGCCCTAGATAACCCGTACCCGTTTATCACGTGGGGCTCTGACCTCCACGTGGGGCTCCGACAGCCACGTGGGGCTCTGACCTCCACGTGGGGCTCCGACAGCCACGTGGGGCTCCGGAAAGGGCGGGGGGAGCCAAGCAGCCACAGTACCTGATGGCAGGTGACCAGGAAGTCGCGGACGCTGATGGCTTCGGAAAGGGCATCGCTCTTTATCTCGATGGTTATGTCGCCATGTGTCACGGAGCCCTCTGTCGGCCAATACTGGTAGCATTTGTCCTTGGGGGAGAAAATAGGACTTAAGTCTCGTAATGAATGGTGTGCTGCCAGGCGTTTTAACTACATGATGCAGGATTGCTCTCAAATGGTTTAAAATATTCTTTTGAATTTTTATAATAATTTGTTTGAGGAAGCAGAGGATATGCCTGGAAATAAGATCACAACAAAAAGAGAAAAGTGTTTCCGTTGAACATGTTTTGTCTGGACAAGAAAATGGCATGAATCCAAACTTGAATGCCCACCAATGCGCGCTGGGCAAGGGAACAGAATGGACGTGGACCTCGGACACAGGACAGAAGGGACCTGACGGGAAGGAGAGCTTATTTGATACGTGACGCTTGAAAAACGGGTTTTCCGTGAAGCTGGATTCCTGCTCACAGCCAAGAAGGGCTGCTAGGCACGCAGCCCCGTCAGCGGGAGTGGGCGGTGAGCAGATAACCCGCACGGCCTGTGTGGCTGCCTTCACATAAACAAACCCACCAAAATGCGCGCCCCCCCTCCCCCCCCCAGTGCTCACGGCAGGGGAAGGGGCACAGGACGTGCGGATGGCGGCTGGTGAAGAGGAGCACAATGAAAGGAGATGCATGAAGCCCAGCTTTAGGCGCCAGCACAGAAAAATGTCAAAGCATAATTCAGAGCCGAAACAGCAAGTCCCCGATGAACACGCGCTGAAATGATGCCCTTGACAGACAGCAAGAAGCCAGCAGAGATACGGCAGTGTCTTTAGACGCGCACGTATGACAGGAAGGTTGCTTTTAGAGCAAAGACACTTCCACTGGACGGCTTTAATAAACAGACAGACAATAATAAGTGTTGGCAAGGATGGGGAGCACCGGGAGCCCTTGCACACGGCTGGAGGGAAGTAAAATGAGGCGGCTGCTCCCCAAAGGGTAACTCAGAGGGAGCTGCAATACAGAGTCAGGATACTTCCCCCCAGGAATCTGCTGAGAGAAATGAGCACACGCGCCGGGTAAAAACCTGGATGTGAATGTTTGTAACATGACTCATAAGGGCCCAAGAGTGGAAACAGCTCAAACGTCCATGGACTGAGGAACGGACAAAGCAGGCGGTCCAGCCGCCCAATCAACAGCACCTGCCAGTCAAAGGGACGAAGAGCTTCTCCGGCCACCACAGGCCGAACCTCGCAAACATGATGCGACGGGAGGGAACTCAAGCACGAAAGGCGCGCGGTGAGGTTCCGTTTACGTGAGACGTCCAGGGCGGGCCAAGCCACAGAGTCAGGGAGCAGACCTGCGGTGGCAGGGGCTATAGAGAGGGCGGGGTGGGGGTGATGGTTTGTGGGCTCGGGGTTGCCCTCTGGGGTGATGAAATGATCTGAATTAGTGGTGAGGTTGCACAGGTCTGTGCGTAGACTAAAGCCCACTGAACGGAAGCCTTTAACAAGATGAATTGTATGGTATGTGAACTGGGTCTCAATAAAGCTGGTTTTTAAACAGCAAAGAAATCGAAACACAAATTCAGGGTAGTAGCTACACCTTGGGGGGACGCCTGGGTAGATGCACGTTATTGGCAAAAGTTCGGGTTTTCAGCTGGGTGGTGGGTTCAGGAGTCCTTATTATGTTATTAAATAAACACTAATCCAAGAAGGCCATGGATGGGTCTCTGGGAAAACGAAAATACAACTCGTTCAACTTGAGCAGGACAATGCCAAGGGCATAGGTATCAACAGCTATAGCTTTATGTCTTGATAAAAGTGAATACGTGTCTTTTTCCCCAATAAGTTTCGATCAAATTTGTATTTGTGGCAAACGCCAAATGGTGCAACTTCAAGGCAGGGTAAATAAAATCTAAGAACGAAAGCTGGTGGGTGGTTATAGTTAGCCCCACCCCCCGAAAGGAAGGAAGGACGGAAGGCAGGAAGGAAGGAAGGAAGGAAGGAAGGGAGGGAGGGAGGGAGGAAGAGTGAAGTGAGACCTTTTGCAGCGTTAACCTCTCTCAGTAGCTATGGCTGGACCTGCCCCCAAGAGCAGGTGGGACGTTTGCAATGAAGCACCTGCCACATGGGGTGGGCAGGACCCGTGTGCGCGAGCCGCCTGGGGCCCGGGCGGGGCAGCGCCTGACCTGCTCGCGCTCCTGCACCTCCGTCAGCATCACGATGGTGTGGCACCGCCACTCCCACACCATCCTCCAGAAGTCCTCCACCGTGTGCGCCAGGGGCCCCTGCGTGGCGATGAAGTAGTCCTTCTGTCGGTAGCCCTGCCGATGGGAGCAGAGGGGACAGTGGCAGGCGGACTTCCTCCCTGGGCTCCACCACCGGACCAGCCGGGAGTCCGCACAGCAGGGGCCAGAGGACGGAGAGCAGCCCGGGCTTCCAGGCCCAGGCCCCGGCCAGCCCCAGGGCAGGACGCCCGCTCCCTCTGCGGACTGGTCCTCTGAATGGCGACCACGCTCCGCCACCCACGGCTTTAATGGAAAGGACAGATAGTAGTAAGAGCTGGGCAGGATGGGGAGGCCTGGAGCCCTGGCACCTGCTGGCGGGAATGGAGGATGACCCTGCCACGCGCTGCGGCCCCCTGGGAGGCACCTGGGGGCTTTGACCTGACACGCTGCCAGGGGCTACGGTTCAGTTAGCATCGAGGTTGTGCAAAGAACCCGGGCGTAGCGTTAGAGGAAGTGGCCCACATCCCAGTTCCTCCCCGCGGCCTGAGGGGCCTTCGGCACAGTTTTCCCTCCTGCAAGCAGACATCCCGGCCAGGCTGGGTGCGAGCTGCCCGCCCACCGCGCTGTCAGGCACGAATGAGTCTGAGAAACCGCAGGAGCGAGGCCGGAGGCACCAGGACAACTGGTGGTGCCACAGGCGGGAAAGAGAAATGGCTCCTCATTTACAGCAGAACGAGAAAACGCTGGGCTGTGGGGCAGGGCGCCGCTCTCCGCTCCCCCCGCTCATTGTTCACTCTTTCTAACGAGGAATTCCCGTGAAAGGTGTGGGCTTGGGGAGACTGGCCCAGCCTCTCTGATGGTGACGGCCGGGTTCCTCTTGGGTCTGAGGAGGGGTCTCCCTCCGCAGCGCAGCGGGGCGGCACTTACGTCGATGAAGGACGCGTTGATGTAATCCGTGTACTCCTGGCCCCTTTTCATGGACAGGATCACGCGGTTGAAGTCATCTGCAGGGCGGCAAGTCCGTGGTGAGGGAGACGCCGTCCCACCGCCCGCCTGCCAGCTCCCCACGGAAAACTCGCTAACAAAGTGGCCACAAGCCAACCCCTCAGAGGGTTGACTGTGTAGAACAGGTGGGTGAACGGGGCCCCGGGAGGGGGTGTCGTCAGGAAAACAACCCAGCGATGGGTTTCATGCATCATGAACGGACAGAATTCATATCAAACTATGAGCGTGACAGACACTGCGTTTCAGGGGTGAAAGGCAGGTGGGCAGGTGGGCAGTTGGGCAGGTGGGCAGGTGGGCAGCCCAGAGACGCCGGCGGGGACGTCCCAGCCACAAGGACTCGAGTCCGAGGCCGGACAGTGTCCACGCACTTTCTGCGCAGTGTGGCCTCTAGCAAGTCTGTCTGCACCTGCTGATGTCCAGGCCGGGTCCCCGGGGAGGTGTCTGAAGGACGGACACTCCCTCTGCTCAAGGCGGCCGGGCCTTTAGGTCCCTCTGATCACTGAGGTCCATTCCTCGGCCCGCCCTCACCCAAGACCGGGCAGGCCAGCGTCTGGCCCTTTCCCTGGAAGGTCTCCGCTGAGCTCCTCAGGTCTGCGGTCTGGCCTGGGGGCCAGCACTCCTGCTCTGGGTAACGGGGTGCCAGGCCTCGCCCAGGCTGGGGGAAGACTCATGGAATGCAGAGCGGGGAGGCCTGAGTCATGCCCCTCCCCCAGCTCTGCGCCCATGTCTGCCCTGGGCACACAGGCCTGTCAGTGGGCGTTTTCTTCCTGGTGGGGGCGGGGAGCCCTAGGCCCAGAGCGGGCCTTGCCCTGGACCCTGGATAACAGAGGTGGGTGGTCGTGAACCCTCAGGGCCTGAAGCCTCAGGGACCGCCCGCCCCCCGCCCCGCCCGGGGGCCCCCCCGGCTGCATACACGGGATGATCTGGATGACCCGGGCCTTCTTCATGTTCGCCGGCAGGTTGCCTGTCCGCATGTTCTCCTTCATGATCCGGACGTTCGTCAGTTTCTGCAGCCGCAAAGGACCCAGCCACGCGGTTACACGCCAACGCTCCCGGCCCACCCTCAGCTCCCTGCCACAGGGCACTGGGGCCCGCTCCATCTCCAGACCCCTCCTCCCCCCGGCCTCGGGCAGTGAATGTATGCGGGACCCTCTCCCTGCCCGCCTGGCCGCTACCCCGCTCTGAGAGCCACACAGGAGTCCTCCCGCGAATCACGGAGGACCAGCCCTCCCTCCCTACCCCTCGCCTTCTCTGGGATCTTTGGGGAGGCACTTCCTGTACGCCGCCCCCTCCTGGGAGCCGGGGCGCTCACCCTGAACTCCTCCTCCAGCCCGATCTTGTCGAAGTGGGTGGCGGTGCCCTGCAGCGTCTGCAGGTGCCTCTCCAGGGAGGCCACGTCCAGCTCCGTGTCGCCGTAGAGGTAGTACTCCAGAAGGGCCTGGTAGATGAACGTGTACTGCACCTGCGGACCAACGGGCAGCCTGGAGTCCCCAGCAGGCCCTGCCCGAGCGAGGGGCTCAGCCGCCCCGGGCACAGGAGGAGGGTGGGACAAAAGTGAGGTTAATGGCCGTTGATAGTGACCACTTAGGGCCTTGAGTAAAGATCACGTTACTGGGCACGGTGCCCCCAGGCACTGCCCCCCACACGCCTCCGGGGGACAGCCTGCGCCAGGGCCGCAGAGGCAGCTGGGTGGCTTTGTAAAGCTCAGACCAGCGAGGGGCTGCCGCCCCGGGCGCAGGAGGAGGGTGGGACAAAAGTGAGGTTAATGGCCGTTGATAGTGACCACTTAGGGCCTTGAGTAAAGATCACGTTACTGGGCACGGTGCCCCCAGGCACTGTCCCCCACACGCCTCTGGGGGACAGCCTGCGCC